TGTATTGCCGGCATAGAAAATAGCGATGCCAATCCATAAGCGAAAAAGCCAACGAGGCAAGGATAGCTCCAATGTATTCACGTTTAATTGCCCGGCTAAGTGAGTTAACGACTGCAGCAGAACCCGTTGCGATTCTTGCTGAGAACGAAGCCAGATATATATCAATAATTGAATAATAGGTACGCTCACGATAAGAATGTGGTGGAAATTATTTCCAGTGCTTGATTGCATGTCCAAATAAAAGATGGACTTCTCACCCAGAGTTCCGAGCAGAGTGAACATAAAAATAATTAGCATCAAGAACTGAATGCTAAACGACCAGAAATTTCCCCTGATTTCATAGTAATTGAAAATGTTCGAGTAGTCGATGTCGGTTAGTCCCATGTAACGTTGGTAGTGTATAAAACTAAAGAGTTTTCCTTGTTGCAGTTTTACAAACATTCTGCTTACAAATTATACCAGCATTTGGCTCAAAGTCGTATGCAAAACTGAATGAGTTTTGGGCTAACTCAAGCAAACATGAAATCACTTGGATGATCTAAATGTATTTAAATTAATTAGCTAATTTTTTTAAGTTTATCTTTCACATTAGTCATTTGCATTGCAAAGAATAATTAAACGAGTAGAAGTGCTGTAGGCGGTTGTTCCCGACTCAGAGATACCCTGAACCCAGAGACAATTTGTCGCTACAAGTATTTTAGCTTCCTTTTACACAGACACAAACACACTTCCTTATTCTTCCATTTTGCCACACTATGGAAAAATAGTTATAGTTTCGGTGTCTATAGTCCGATCCTTATGATTCTTCCAGGGTTTAATATAAAATCCAATTATGTGTGTGTAGCTTTTAAAATGATGTATTTTAATATAGGGCATAATGGCCTCAAAGATAAATGTTCTTAGTCTATGTATACTTTATACCAACACAGATGTTATGATAATGAGAGAATTTATCAGGAAGAAGAACCCGTTCTACTTATAATATAGAAGAATATATGTCTTAACTTTCAAGTCTCTATTACTCATAGTTTCCGAGACAGACGCATTCATGCAAACAAGCAATGCACAAAACTGTTTTCTTATATACTGGTTATAAAAAGCTAATACCCTCGTATGAATAATGGTAAATAAATGGATATATTTCTCTACCTTCAACTAAAACAACAAAACACAATTTCAAATTAACCCAACAGCTCGGGCCTAGTTTGGCGAAGATTACCCATTAGTACTCACCTGTCTGGCCAGGTTATTAACGACCAAAGGCATACACAGATAGCAAAATATTGGTATCATCCAGCTGAACACGTAGAGGAGTTCTAAAACTGAAGAGTAATCCTCCACTGTGGCTAAATAGCATATACATATTGCTTCCAAGAAGGAATACAGAGAAATAAACACAAAAGCGCCACCAAAAACCAGGACTATCTTTTCGTGGCACAGCAATAAGAGCTCATCATGAATGCCCAAGTTCCTGGTCAGCTTCTCCAGATTCATGTGGGTCTCGGCACGCAGCTGGTATGCCTGTGACTGCAGCAAAACCATCATGAGATAAACAAGGGATGTGTAGTAGACGGTGATATAGTTGATCCGCACGAGATGCACATAAAAGCTGAGATGTAAGAGTATGCACTGGGCACCCTTTGCATTACAAAAAGAATAACCAAGTGCCAGATCGCAGGAATATAAAGCACAGAAAACCATCCAAAAGCGGCAAAGCCAACGAGGTGGGGTTAGCTGTAAGGTGTCGACTTTTAGACGCCTCGCTAGCTGAGTTAACATCTGGAGTAGCATTCGATGCGATTCTTGGTGTGTCCGTAGCCAGATATATGCGAATAACTGACTGATCGGCATGGCAATCACATATATGTGATGGAAATCGTTGCCTGTCTCGGATTGCAGGTACAAATATCTCCTGGCCAGCGCATCGAGGAGAGACGCCATAAATATAAGCTGCGTGAGCAACTGAATGCTATATGACCAAAAATTTCCATTGAGCACATAAGCATGAAGAGTGGTAGAGTAATCGATATCGGTCAGTCCCATATAACGTTGGTAGTGTATAAAGGTGAAAAGCTTCCGCTGTTGTGGTCTAATGTGCATTTTCTGTGCAAACAACACTTGCGTTAGGTTAAAAGCCGTCTGGATAACTAACTGCCATGATGGAATATTGGATTCGCTGAAGAAAATGAGTTCGATTATCAATCAGAAATATATACACTTTAATTAATTAGTATTGTGAAATGCGAAAAAGTGGAGAAAGCTCAACTAAAACATACTATTTTGCAATGAGAAGCCCAACAAATAGATTTGATAGTTCCGTTTACGGTTTGAGCCAATGACATAAAATTTGGTCTTTTTTAAAATTGGCAAATCAAAAAGTGTTGCAATTACATTTTATGTTTAAATTATTAAACTTTAAGCAAGGCATGCAGCAGGTCTTATTGACTACTGTAATCGCTCACAAGATAAATTTGTACATAACATTGTTATCCTGGGCATTTTCTATCTATGCATCGCACTCACGCGAGTTTTTGGTATTGCTGATCGCTTATTTTTTTATTTTAATCCCAGTAGCAAATATGATGAAAATGCAAATTTTAATACTACATAGCTTGGAGTAACCGCATTTGCCCGAATAATAACCAATTCGATTTTCTAAATAATAACTTCATATGAATATTTCGTGTAAGTACGAACTTATTTTCGAGTATACTCATACGGATCATGGCATATTGGGCACTGGGATCCAACTAGCTACAACTAGAACTAAGTTGTGGCACACAGAAAATAGGCAGATAAACGATCAGAAATTGATTATCATGAGCGATAGGCAACAAAATTAGTGCGAGCGTTGCATATGCAGATAACGCACAAGTAAACAAACATACCATATGCATAAGTAGATAACTCACAAAAAAGCACACACCCAAACAAGTGCATAGCAGGCTGAAGCGTCACTTAAAGAGAACTGATTTTTGTATTAGGTGTGTTCTGAAGCTGAATCTCTCAAGATTACGCTCTCCTTCTGTCCACGCATTTATTGTCAAAGTAAAATGAGGGGAAGACTGGGGTCTAGTTTTTCCTTCGGTATGTGAAGTTTTCAATGTTTTGCAACCGTTTCTCTCTAAATACCATCTAATGGGTAACTTAAATCGCAAACGGTTACTTCTGCAAAAAATATGTAGCTTATTATTTCGGAAAGTGCGTTGTTTGTCAATCAATCTATCAGTCATTCAGCCAGGTCAAACTGTTAAATTAGTGTGTTTTCCAAAATGGATTTTGAAAGCTTTCATTTGCGATACACGTTGAACCGGGTCAAACTATATTTTTTCTGTCTACACAGGATATTTCCTAGACAATGACTCTAGTAAACAGTAGTTAATTTTGATCAAGATGAATAGACAATTAATCAGATTTTGGCAATCTGTTTGTTATCAAGCTAAAAGCTGTTTAACTTACCTCATCCGCCAAATCGTTGATAAGCATGGGCATGCTCAAATAGATGGCGACTGGTATCAACCATCTGAGGATCAGTAGCATTTCCGTATAGGAGAATCCGTCCATGGGCAGAGCCAAATAGCAATCCTCAATGGCATCGAGCGTTGCATATAGATAGGGCAGGACCAAAGCGCCACCAAAGGCACTCACCATCTCGTTCTGGCACAAGAGCAGCAGCTTATCGTTCAGATGCAAATTGTAGGCTATGCCCTGCAGAGATATGCGTTTGGCAAGCAGATAGTGCTGCAGTTGGGCTGCCTGTGCTCGAAACAGATGCTTCATCACGAGCACCAGGGAACAGTAGCAGGTGATTATGAAATTTGCACACACGAGACGCACATAGAAGCCCAGCAGAAATATCAAATGATCCAGCTGTGAACTCAAATCGACTATCACAAACACAACAATGTCCACGGCATAGTAGACGCACATGAAGACCCAAAAGAAATAAAACCAGCGGGCACGCAGCTTCTCCATGTTAGAAACTCGCAGGGCCGCAGCCACACGGCCCAATCCCTGCAGCAGCTGCAGCTGGGATTGCTGATGCAAACGCATCCAGGCATTGGCAAACAGTTGGGTGAACGATGCAGACAGTATAACCAGATGATCGAAGGTATCGCCCGATCTTGAATCGGTGTCCTGGTAGTTGAGGGTCCATTTCAAGAACGTATCCACAATGCAATAAATTAAAATACCCTGCACCGCCAGGTGTATGAAATTCGCGCTACAGTTCCCCTCCAGCATGTAACAATTCAGGAGTTTCGAATAGGCCAGATTGCCGAGGCCCAAGTAACGCTGATAATGCAAGAATTTTAAAATACGCATATTCTCGATGGATCTCGCACAATTTTTGTTCAATTTCACTTTGCAAACTGAATGAAAGTTCCTTAACTATTTGTTAAAACTCCATTTTAATTAGTTTATGAGCTTGGAATTGAATTGCAACAGTTGCATCTGTTAAGTGAAGAGCTTTATAATAGTATTTAACTAAATGACACAGTCCGTGCATGACATCAGTTAAGAATTCGAGTTAATCAATTTAAGTGTTAATTTCTCTTTGAAACTCTCTCATCAGTTAACACTACACAATGGCATTTCGTGTCCAAAACAATGGAATAGTTCAATTTAAAAGAGATAAAGTCAAATTTGTAATAAAATACTGTGAAAATTTCTGAGAGCAAAGAGCGCTTCGTTCAACATTTTTCATATTATTTATAGGTGTAGGGCTACAGTAGAAAACTTAACAAACAATTATATGTTAATTTTTTTCAGTACAATTAATGTAATTTACAGTTGAACAGAATAAATTTTCAAACTCTTCATAAAATATATGAATTTCTTAGGATATGTGAATATTAGATGGGGACTGAGTTTTTATGTTAATCGATTTAATGAAAATTTGGGTTTGGGTTTTGAGTGAAGATAATTTGATTAGGATTAAAAATATAAAACGTTTACCAACACTAAATGGATTCTGAAATTTCGTTTAACTCAACTTTCAGAAAAGTGAATTGGACTTTTTGGAATGGTCACCGCTGAACGATAGAAACTTAATGCCAGACGACTGGACAACGGATACATTGTTCTCGGCAATAAATGGACCATTTCCCTTTCCAGATTCAAGAGAGATCGGTAAGTGTCGTTAAAAAAAAAAATTTTGGCAATTAAATGTAGCTATTTATTATTGTACTACCTACAGCACGCGGTGCAGGCATTGCGGACTTTATACAGCCAAGTCTGGGCCCGCTGCAGCCGAATTTAGATGATATCGACATTACCTTCTCAGGTACATTTCCTAAATGTTATTGTTGAAGTATATGTTTATGCTAAAGCCTTTTGATTAACATAGATTTGCTCACCACCACCGGCTCGCGCCTGCCACCCGTGCCCGAGGAGGGCACCGATGCGGAGATGCTCAAGAACGACGACTATTGCCTGCAGGCAATTGTTGGTGCTCCACACACGCTCTACACCAGCGACAATATGATGGAAGTGGTGGCCAGCAGCAGTGGCGGCAATGCTCAAGTGGACGCCAACATGCTGGAGCTGAACACACCCATCAGCAACATGCCCTACGGCGACATTGAGCAACAGTTTGTGGCGGCGCGGCAACAGGCAGTCAGCGATTCACAACAGCAACAACAACAGCAGCAACAACAGCAGCAGCAGCAACAGTTGTTGGGCGAGAGTCAATCGCCACGTCTGCACACAGTCAAACATTTTGGGGCCATCAGCAGCAATGACAGCAGCAATCGGTGTTCCGCCAGCGAGAGTTTCTCGAGCAAGAGCGTCATCAATGGACGCATTGCCAAGAATACGCAGCGTTTAATTCGACGCGAGCCGCACAACTACGACAAGGCGCAACCGACGCTGCATCAGACGACCATCTATCAGCAGATGCTGGCCGAGCAGCAGAAGAATCAGCAGCAGCATCTCAGCGCGGGCGCTGTCTTGCAGGCCTTTCAGACACCCCAACAGCAGCAGCAGCAGCAGCAGCAGCAGCAGCAGCAGCAGCAACAACAACAACAACAACAGCAATTGCAGCAGCAGCAGCAACAACAGCAGCCGCGTTTGCACTTTCCCACGCAACAGCAGCAACAGCAACAGCAACAAAATGCTTACAATACGCAAAGTTTCTTGAGCAACTATGCGGACAGCTATCAGCAACAGCAGCAACAGTTGCCGCCACAGCAGCAGCAGCAACAACAGCAACTTAGCGTTAAGGTGGAGCCGCACCAGGCTGATGTGTTGTCGTTGCTTAGCGATGGGCCCTACAACTCTATCAGCTACAAGCCCTATCCGCAGTTCAAGAAATCCGCATCCACAGGCACGTTCTTGAATGTGCCGCGCGTCCCGCAGCAGCAACAACAGCCGCAGCAACAACAAGGCTATTTGCAACAAGAGCAACAGCAGCCGCAGCTGCAGCTGCAACATTCGCTGCCTTTGGGCCTAGGTCTAAGCACACAGCAGCTCATGCAGCTGACACGCCAGCAACAGGCAGCCAATACACAGCAACAGCAGCAGCAGCAGCAACATATGCAGCTGCAACAGCAAACGGTAGCTAGTCTGCTGCTACCTCAACAACAACAACAGCAGCAGCAGCAGCAACCTGCTGTCAGCGTAGCCTCCTGGGCGACGCCCAACACCAGCATCTTGCCCAAGGAAATGCATCGCTCCAACAGTCTCCCCCTAAACGTGTCGCTGCCGAAGCTCATCCATCACGAACAGCAGCAGCAACAGCAGCAACAGTTCGCGGTGCCCAAGTACCATGCCAAGGGGAAGTCCCGCGTGCGCAGCAATTCTATGCACCAGCAGCACACGGTTGTTGCCGCCGGCGGCGGCTCGCCCGTCAACAATGGACACGGCAACAGCAGCAGCAACCTACTTGTCACCCAACAAATGCAACAGGCAACCAGCGATCCTATGCTCAATAGCACGCTCGCCCAGCTGCTAACGTCGAGTAAGTTGACTATATTCATATACATATATTTCCTGATATATATAAGACTTATTCAAAAATGCATGTCTCAGAAAATACCCAGGCAATATTTATTAATTATTAATTATCCCTTTTCGGCAGATCAGATCAGATAATATATTAATTTTCCTCTTTTGCACATCAGATACACGCCTGCAGGCAGCCGTGGCAAACAAAGCGCAGCAGTCAAATTCTTCCGCCAATGCCATAGCCAGCGGCAGCAGCAACAGCAACAACCATCAGCAGCAGCAGCAATCGCTGTACGTCAGCAATGCATCAACGTCGCCGCTGTCGGTGCCCGTGCCGACGCAGCAGCATTCACCAAAGAAGTCCGCCTCGTTGCCTGTCGCGATTGCTGCACCGACGCTACACAGTCCGCCTGGAACGAAAATGCTTGGCTTTGGGCAGGGCAACAATCCCAATTTGGGCAGCAGTCTGAGCTTGTCGCCGGACTCGCCGTTCCATGACTCGCAGGACTCGCCGCTGCCGCTGTCACCGACGACCAGCCTTAAGTATCTGCCACGGGATACACAGCGTCGCGCCGGCCACATCCATGCGGAGCAGAAGCGACGCTATAATATTAAGAATGGTTTTGATACCCTGCACGCACTCATACCCCAGCTGCAGCAGAATCCCAATGCGAAGTTAAGCAAAGCGGCGATGCTCCAAAAGGGCGCCGATCACATCAAACAGCTGCGCCAGGAGCGCAATGTACTCAAGGACAAGATCGAGGCGTTGCGAATGGAGCGCGATGCTTTAAACAACTCCCTTATGTAGGTCACAATATATATACATATCATGATTCGATTGCTCACTAATTCTTATTCTATTTCTTTCTGCAGGCACCTGCACTCGGTGCTGCCTGCGAACGGTGCACCCGTTACACGGCAGGGCACGGAGCATGTGCGTCAGCTATATGAGGTCTATGTACGCTACAATACAATGAACGATTGGAAGTTTTGGATTGTAAGCTTCCCCTACAAATTCTGATAATACTTACATTAAAACCATTTTGTCACGAAATATGTGACACTTATATGGAAACAACTCGGTCCCATAAACTCGGTCCCATAAGTATTCCTCTACCTGATAAATATTAAAACCCGTGTCAGTGTGGCCCGTTCGCTTGTCTGTTTACTAGTCCGCGGAAATCGAGAAGCTATATCATATAACTGTGATATCTAATATGGAAAACGTGTTTGATTGGTTACATTTCAAAAATGCATTACTTTGTCATTTTATAAAGAACTGTCTCGATAGATTGCATCGCGGATCGCGCACCTGTAATATTCGGCACTTCGAAGATAACACTTGTTTTTTTTGTTATATTTATATATAAATTGATTTTCTCCACAGCTGGGTCTGATTCTGGAGCCCTTATTGGCTTCTTACACGACGACCGTTTCCAGCGCCAGTTTAGATGAACTGCGTCGCACCGCCTTTCTCTGGGTGGATCAGCACTGCTCGCTTATAGATCTGCGACCTGGTAAGTACCTGTTTATGCTCCCACAGGAAGCCCTGACTAACTTCGCTCTCTCTCTCTCTCCTTTCTCTCTTCAGCTGTTACGAACAAATTAAAGTACCTATCGATGCACACGGACATTGTCTCGGAGCCGCCCAGCACGCTGCAGGAGGAGGTGGCGAAGGCTCTGCAGAACACCAGTGGACAGCATCCGAATCTGCATGGCTCTTAACCGTTGTTGTTGCTCGTGATATGAATTTAAACCAATTGCTACAACAAATCCAATGTCAATGCAAACCGTTCGCCCTGCTGGCAGCTACTGTTGCAGCTACACATTGTACAAATTGCCCCGCACGGGGGCAGATTAATTATATATGCAACAAATGCCACAACAGCCACCAGCAGACGCGGCTGCAACTGCAACTGCAGCTGGCGCTAAGCTAAGCAGCATATAGTGCCTATAATACTATGACTTAAGCGTAAAATAAACGTAACGATTTTACAATTTTTTCAAAAAATGACCTGTATTTCCCTTGGATAGGGGCAGGAATTATTTGGAAAAAGAACATTTGGTGTGAAGATACTTTGACCCTTTCCATACTGCTTAAATGCAGGTCGATGCGATTGGCCATTGCGATCTTAATGCATCAAGTCCTTTGAAAATCCGCAAGGAGTTGATCGAGCTATGGTTTACTTTCCAACTCGGACATTATTCACAAAACCGCCCTTATCTTGGCCATTTCAAGGACTATACCGGTGTCATTGGTAGTCCACATCCTCGTAATTCTAAATTCACAAGAAACCTAGCGAAAGTCCTTCAAACAGCCAATATATTGAGAATTTTTCTGTACAAACAATAAGGATTCTGACAAGTCTTATACCAAACAATCCTTATGAACCAGGACTATCAACTGGCAAGAGGACATCCAAATCGTCCTTCAGGTTTCCTAGATATAACTATTTTTCTAAAAAGGACATTCTATTTATAACCATAGTTCGGCCAAATCCTTAAGGATATCAAAAGGATACACTTTTTTGGGTTCGTGGGAAGCAGGACTATCGATTGGCATTCAAGGATTTCCAGGATTCCACAAAAAAAATTGCCTCAATTTCGGCAAGGGGGTTAGTCAGAAAATCGAAAATTTCCATATCAACTTTGCCATTTGAAGGACGATCGGGATGTCCTTTGGACAGTAGATAGTCCTTGTCCTACCATTTATGAATATGCAACCCGAAGAACGATAGTCCTTCAAACAGCTGAGAAAACAGGACTTTTTTAATAAAATTTTAAAGCATAAAATAGGCTATAGCTCGGCTGTATCCTTACGTATCCTGACGAGTCCTGTCCCAAATGAATTGTATGGACCACAGCTACCATGTGGCCAAAGGGCATCGAGATCGTCCTTGTAGTTTCGGAGATATTAAGGATATTGTGTATTATGCCCATTTCCTTAAGCTCCGCGACTGAAAAAATGATCAAGTCCTGGATTCTTAGATGACCCCCCAATATTTGAATGCAGATCGATGCGGCTGGTCCTCACGATCCTAACGCACCATGTCCTTTGAAAATCCGCAAGGATATGGCCGAGTTATGCGCATTTAATAATCAGCAATTCATATGCTCGGCCAAAAATATCGTTGCATCGTTGCCGGCTGTCGAGATTTCTTAAATTCTGCTGAAATACCAGGCGAACAGAAGTGCCCAGCAAGCAGACGAAAATTTTCGGGAAAAAAATTTATTGCATACCCGTAAGGGGCAAAAATGTTAGGCTGCTGCTGACTTGCAAAATTCTTAACAGTCGACTCTTACTGCTAACAGTTTAATGCTCATAACAACGCCCCTTAAGGGTATGCAACGGAGTATTTCAGCCATCAAAGTAAAATATCTATTTTTAAATGCGCATAACTCGGCCATATCCTTGCGGATTTTCAAAGGACATGGTGCGTTAGGATCGTGAGGACCAGCCGCATCGATCTGCATTCAAATATTGGGGGGTCATCTAAGAATCCAGGACTTGATCATTTTTTCAGTCGCGGAGCTTAAGGAAATGGGCATAATACACAATATCCTTAATATCTCCGAAACTACAAGGACGATCTCGATGCCCTTTGGCCACATGGTAGCTGTGGTCCATACAATTCATTTGGGACAGGACTCGTCAGGATACGTAAGGATACAGCCGAGCTATAGCCTATTTTATGCTTTAAAATTTTATTAAAAAAGTCCTGTTTTCTCAGCTGTTTGAAGGACTATCGTTCTTCGGGTTGCATATTCATAAATGGTAGGACAAGGACTATCTACTGTCCAAAGGACATCCCGATCGTCCTTCAAATGGCAAAGTTGATATGGAAATTTTTGATTTTCTGACTAACCCCCTTGCCGAAATTGAGGCAATTTTTTTTGTGGAATCCTGGAAATCCTTGAATGCCAATCGATAGTCCTGCTCCCCACGAACCCAAAAAAGTGTATCCTTTTGATATCCTTAAGGATTTGGCCGAACTATGGCTATAAATAGAATGCCCCTTTTAGAAAAATAGCTATATCTAGGAAGCCTGAAGAACGAGTTTTTTTTAAATTTATTATTTCTGTCAATATTTATAACGTTTTTTAATTAATTTTAATTTCTATTCATTTCTATTAACATTACACAAATATGAGTAGAAATTATCTGTGTATCTTATTTAAACTAAAAATGCCGTTAATAAAGTCCGATCATGGAAAGAATACCCTTGTTGAATGTTTGGAAATCCTGGGCATCGAAGTCCTTGACGTCTGCAATCTGAAAATATAAAAGCACATTTGAATAAAACAAACCAATAAAAAGTAATTTTTTAAGGTCATGGTTTATAAGGTTCTTAAGAAGCGTCGCATCGTCCTACATAAAAACATTATGTTATCTAAGAATTTTGGACTTGTTAAATTTTCCGTGTTATCTGAAATTATTATTTTGTTTCGTACATGTCCTTTAAATTTCAAACCCGATAAAATTAACATGTATTTTATTTTCAATATCATTAAGTGGATTTAGCTCGGATAATTAATAATTTAATAAGATTCGTATTTTGTAAAAGCTTTAAACGGCAACTGCTTTAGCCCAATTGACTACTGTGTTCAAGTTAAGTGAGGCGAACTCAAAGCAGACTAAATAAACGGCGCCCAGAAAATAGAGCAAGCAATATTATAAGAAACGAAAATATGAAGTTCATACATATATGACTTATGGGTGTAACTCTTCCTTTGTTTTGGTGCCTATATGTACATATGAATCAATACCTGCTTGTTTTCAACACAAAGACAGTTAATATTTGTCGTTTATGTGCGCCTGGTAGTTAGCGATGTCATCCCACATTTACTTGAATGTGTGGCGGTGCTGATGCAATCGTCATGTTAGGTTAATTTTAAAAATGTTAAGTCTCACATTAAATACATTATGTTTTAAACATAAAACAAGCTATCTATCAATAAGTAAATTAAAATGCAACCATAAGCTCGCCATTAAATTTTCGTTATTCGCGTAATCGATCATTATTTTTTTTATCTTTTGTTATTATAAATGGATTTTCTTTTACTTATTTTAAGTAAACATGTATAATGCACAAAAAACTAACACCATATGTGTCGCACAGTTAATCTTAACAAAAGTCATAAGTATCAAATAAAAGTTAAACTCGGCATAATTAAATCGATGACAGGCAGGCACGCAACCTATTCAAGTGAACCTACGGTGCCATCTCTTATTACCAGGCGCACATAAGCAACAGTCGTGCTTGAGTTAATCTTCAAATTCCTTTTACTTCGCCTAAGAATGCGTGGGCTAAAACTAGTGAAAGCTTGAGAGAGGTGACTTTAGCGCTCAGAGCACAGAAACACAAACTTGCGCACATACGATTATGCTCTCTTCTCTCTACAACACTTGTGTGTGTGTGTACTTACTTGTTATCTTGTTTATCAAGTTATGCATAGTGTGTATACTTGTGTGTTATCTACCTCGCTCACGAAATTTTTTTTTGCTTCTCGTTCCACTTAATAATTTCTCGTGAGATCATTTGCCTTCTCTATTTGCGCCGTTTTTCGCCTGCTTTGCGCACTCGCAACTTAGTTCTGTGTTAAGTTGACCCTAGAAGTCAATTACACAGTTGATTGCAAGTTGAGCTGTTAACTTTTAACATAATAAAAGGGCCTTTAGAGCAGCGTCAATTACCCGAATAGTAGCAATTAAAGCTTTTTAATGATCAATTATGTTTGAATATCCCGGGTCTGATTTGTAAGTGTACTCATACGGCTTATGCTATACTGACTACTGGGGCCAACACGACACAGAACTAAGTTGCGGGAGCGCAAAGCGGACGAAATAAAGGCGGCGCACAGAAAATAGGCAAGCGAACGATCACAAGATGAGCGATAACAAACAACAAAACTCGAGAGAGCGATGCATATGAAGATAACGGGCAAGTACACACACGCATACACAAGAATAAGGCAGGGGAACTTCCCGAAGCGACACTAGAAGAGAGCAACACGTGTGTGTTGCTGTACTCTGAGTGCAAGTCAGCTCTCTCAAGCCTACGCTCTCCACATGTTATTTTTAAGCGAAGTAAAAGTCATATGCAGTTAAAATTAATCAACAGCTGCCCATTTTGTGCGCCTGGTAATTAGAGATGGCATTTTACGTGTACTTGATCCCGTGTGGGTGCTGGCTGCTGCCATCGTTATATTTGAAGCTGAGTTCAATTTTATTTCTGATTTTTTTTGAGAAGACTTTTATGTAGTTTTGATTTGAATAGATTTTTGATGCTCATTTATTTAAGAGATATAGATTTGTTTAACTTGCCATGCCTCCTGTCCTTATGGCAGCTCGTCAGTAGGCTAGATTACAAATTTGATAATAATATTTGTCACGCGCCAACCGATCGTAACCACCTAATCTTCACAAATCTGACGTATGTATGCGACTCAAGCTGTTACATATATGTGAATATACATTTTCCCGCTTATATATATTTCATTGCAATCGGATTCTCAAATGGTAAGCCTTATTGCACGCGTACAGATCTTGTCACATTTTCCACTGAAGTCAAACTAAGCTTATTAGGTTGGTTGAGGGCACAAAAAAAGCCTAAAGACTTACCCCAATCCAAAAGGATATATCGAATTCAAATTTACCGTTGTGGATATGCTATATAAGATGAATGCGACGCATTTGTCGGGTGTTCACCAAGAGAATGAGAGCGAGCTAGTCAGACTGATAGAGCGCAATTTGATAAAGCTACTGCACTGCACTCTCTTATCTATTGATCGCTCTCTATCTCTCTCTCTCTCTCTGACTTAAGTCGCATTCCAATCGCAATTAGCCTACACAAAAGGAAAATGTAAAAATGATTAGAGTAGAGTTCAGTTGACTAGTTATTGTTGCAGAATGATCACCTTCGGCTTGCTGGCGGTGCTGTTGCTGGCTTGGCTGTGGCAGCGCTGGCACTTTGGCCACTGGCAGCGGCTGGGCGTGCCGCATGCACACGCCGCGCCCTTTGTGGGCAATGTGTGGCGCCTGCTGCGAGGCTGTTGCTGCTTTGGCGACCAGTTCCGGGAGCTGTATGAGTGTCCCAGCGCCAAGGGGCAGGCCTACCTGGGTATACACGTGCTGCACAATCATGCGCTGCTGCTGCGCGAGCCGGCGCTGATCAAGCGTATTCTTGTCGAGGATTTTGGGCAGTTCTCCAGTCGCTTTGAGACTACAGATGCCATTGGGGACACGATGGGCTCACAGAATTTGTTCTTCTCCAAATACGAGCTGTGGCGCGAGACGCACAAGATATTTGCGCCCTTCTTTGCCGCCGGCAAGGTGCGTCATATGTTTGGGCTGCTGCAGCAGATTGGCCAGCAGCTGGAGCAGCATATGGCCAGGAAGCTGACGGCGAGCGGCACGCCGGAGGGCACACTGGAGCTGGAGGTCAAGCAGCTGAGTGCGCTATTCAGCACAGATATTATTGCCTCGCTGGCCTTTGGCCTGGAGGCCAATTGTCTACAGCAGCCGGACGCAGAGTTTCGGCGCATGTGCATCGAGGTGAATGAGCCGCGTCCCAAGCGTCTGTTACATCTCTTCACCATGTTCTTCTTTCCGCGCTGCTCGCGCCAGCTGTGCACCCATCTCTACTCGGAGGAATACGAGCGTTTCATGCGGCAATCCATGAACTGGGTGATGGAACAGCGTGCGGCCAGCGGGGAGCAGCGCCACGATCTGATTGACATATTTCTGCAGCTGCAGCGCACGCAGCCGCCGGAGAGCGTGGTGCACCGGCGTGACTTTTTCGTGGCACAAGCAGCATTTCTGCTGCTCGCTGGCTTCGACACCTCCTCCTCGACGATTACCTTTGCGCTGTACGAGCTGGCCAAGCAGCCGACCATACAGCAGCGCCTCAGGCAAGAGCTGGCGGCGGCGCTGCTGGGCAGCGGAGCCACGACCGGACAGTTGGACTACGAGACGCTCAGCGGACTGCCCTATTTGCGGCAGGTGGTGGATGAGGTGTTGCGTTTGTATCCGCCCACTGCTTTTCTGGATCGCTGCTGCAATGCCAAGGCTGGCTATGATTTGTCCGCCTGGAGCTGTGGTTCCGCCTTGAGACTGCCGCCTGGCACACCCGTCTATATCTCTGTGCTGGGACTGCATCGCGATGAGCAGGTAACGATTGGGCGCAGCACATCACAGTTTTATACACGTTCATCACTGTTTTTGCTTTCGCAGTACTGGCCTGAGCCCTTGAAGTTTGATCCGGAGCGTTTCTCGCCAGAGCAACGGGTGCAGCATCAACCCATGACATATTTGCCGTTTGGCGCCGGTCCGCGCGGATGTCTGGGCACGCTGCTGGGTCTCCTGGAGATAAAGGTGCGTTTCCTTAGCTCAGCTTGTTGCCATTTCATTGAAAACACGTTCGCCTTTTATCCAGGTGGGTCTGGTCTACATACTGAAGAACTATCGCGTGGAGACCTGTGCAAGAACGCTGCCGGAGATGAGATTCGATGCCAAAGCCTTTGTGCTAACAGCTGCGGGAGGCACCTATTTGCGCTTCGTCCGGGATCCGCTGTGAGAAAAAACTGGACCTTGTGTTGCAGTTTTTTAAATTTTCACTTTATTGGGGTAATTGTTCACATATGTAGGTTCTGCTTTTTATTTTATTTTAATTTATTTATTTTTTTTTTGTTAATTTTTGTTTGTTTTTAGCTTAAGATCAGCTCAAAAATGTTCACAAAATTTGTCAGTTGTTCTAGCCAAATACTGCTGGCCATATAAATGGCTAATCAGTTATTATCTGCGCAGACCGTGGACTGTATTTATTGACTTGTAAGCTAGCTTATCAAAAAATAATTGAACAAAGTGCATTTTAACAAACTATAAAAACTTAAAACCTATAAAACAAGAAATTTCAATTTTCAGTATCGAGTTACTTTAAGTGCAAATAAAATTTGATAATGCATTTAGACCATGTATTTTACCAACAATATTTAGCTAGCTTGACAATCAACCATATGTATGTTGTGTATTTTTCGCGTTTTTCCGTTTTTGTTTTTCATTTTGTTTTTATTTTTTTTTACCATATACAATTTAAAAAACTAGCTCTCGAGCTACCTGGCTTATATCTTCACTTTTTACAAATTATCAAAAAAATAACTAAAGCAATTTTACACACTCGTCATTAAAGAACTAAGCTAACAACTAATTGCATTTTGTTTTTATATTATATTAGTAATTTATATATTAACACAAAAGTTTTATTTGTATTTAGCTTTTCTTTTTATACATAAAGGTATTCAGTTACAGAATTGAAATGTAATAATAGTATACAAATATGTTTGCACATTTATTTTGCTAGCTACGAATCGAATTTAGCAAAAATCAAGAACTATTTTGAACAAATTGTTATTTTAAAATCAAAATGCACAAGTTTACTGTAAAGATTCTTTTTAAAAAATGTGCTTCAATATAATTTGTGAATTTCTGTCTGCTGCAAACTAATTACTTAATTTGAATTTGAATATTTAGCTATGGGCTTGTTGTTAATTACTTTTTCAATATATTTATTTATATATATATTTTGTTTAGCAGTTTTCAAGAGGAAGCAGCATTTATTATGGCATATGTATATAGCTCAGCGGAAGGTTTTTCTGTAGTTCTAACTGCTCATCAATGTTATACATGTATGTTTATTTATATATGTGTATATATATATATATGTGTGTGTGTGAATGTGTGTGTGTGGCAAGTTAATTTGCATTTTGTTTTGTTGCAATGACAGCTTTTGATTTCGTTTTATTTAGTTGTTCATTATTTATGTTGGAAGCAATAAATTAAATATTGTTGCAATTATTTTGCTAAATTTTGAAAGTTGTTTTGTATCAATATGAATATTTCTATGTACATTGAAAGTGCAAGCATTTAAGTGTTTAGTTTTATTTTTATTTCCTTTTTTTTTTTTTGAGTAAGTTTCAAAATTGCAATTTTTGGTTTTTCAGAATACACAGTAAATTTGTGTTAATATTTTATTTTTGACTGACTGGAAGTGAGTTGGACATTCGAATTAAACTAAACAGGTAAATAAAAATAAATAAAGTGTGCAATTTAAAATGATTGTAAATATTTTTGTAAGATATTTGTAAATATTTTAAGAAGCCCAAACACTCCCAGAAGCGCTAACAACTACGCTTTGCATAAAATGTTAATTAACAGTGAGGGCACTGTTAATTAACATGTTTAGATGCTCAGGCTCTGTTTTGTTTTAATATAACGCTTAACACACACATTATTTCTCATATCGGCATATAGGCATACATACATATATAGATATATATAGCTAGTTACATGTATAGTAGTGTACTTTTGACATGACATACATTTATATATACTCATACTCATATTTATAGGTCATATATGTGTACATATACTCTCACTTTTTGCTTGCAAGTAAATATTATGTAAAAATTAAATCATTACATTTATATGCTTCAAAAACTCTTGTTTTTTTCTTACTATTTCTGTATTTTGTTGTTGTTGTGGGTTTGTTTTAGTCTTCTAAATACATTTTACGAAACATACACACAAGAATCGCTACTATCTTCGATCCTGCATGACCACCTGCTTGAAGGCACCCGCCCGCACGCTTGACTTGACCTCGTGACCGCCCAGAGAGGCAGTGCCATCGCGCGCTATATACAGCTGCAGGCCAGATGCTGAATCAAAAGACGGTGTGTATTTTAGATATTTATATTTAAGCCGCAATAATAAACATTAATACTCACTCTCAGCAGACTCGCCTAGCTGATCCAGCTTGGTATCCTTCAAAATCTCATCGATTAATGAGTTGGGATTCACGCGCGTCTCCTCGACACGATCCGAAACGCGCGGCCCATCATCGAGGGCGCCCTTTTTGCGTTTCTCACCGCTGCTTTTCGTGCGATCTAGAGATCCTGTTTCACTTATAACTAACGAACCGGAACTGGGATTCCTGTGAAAGCAAAACATCAGCACGATGAGTAAATATTGTAAAAACAATAATTAGTTGTATATTGTGTATATAAATAGAATATAAATTAAAGTATATACGCGGTGCTCTTTGCTTATGTGAATCCATTTGCTAAGTAATAAATGTGAATAAGCAGCGGTATACAAAAAGACACGATATATATAAAGGGGGCGTGCCACTTGTGACAAGTCGAGGGAGCGGGGGGAAGGGCAATTAAATCTGGCCATGCCATGCAGAACATATATGTGTGTGTATGTGTACTATGATTACAAATATTTGAATAATGCGGACAAAAACTTTTGCGAAGTGAACCAATGAAACGCTTATAAATAGAACAAGTTCCAAAAAAACTTCACACAATCAAAAACTAGATATAAAAACAGTTTTGACGGGTTTGAAAAAATAATAAAATATATAAGTAAATTAATATAACGTTTTGACAATCAATTTTTAGTTATAGAGTCGTAGCACACACATATTATAAGAAAATAAATTCGTAAATTAAATTAACACATTGATCATAAGCACAGTTTTCTGTACATCCAATTGAGTTTTTAACAAAAACACATTTTATAAATAATCTAGCATCTAGCATACTCATTAGAGCTGGAAAATATGTCAAATATACTTAAACATAATATGTCCCAACTTCTTTAATAGACAGCATTGTTAAATTGAAAAATAATGAATTAATCTTTACATTTGGAAAATATATTAACCTTTGCTCCTAACAAATGATTTATCTAGCAAAAAAATAATTTTTAAATTTTCATAAAACGACAAATCCTTATAAATATAAACAATAAATTTGATATGAAGCAATCTTTCGTATTTGTTTGCTTAAGGATCATATTATGTAGGTTGACCTCTTCTGTAATGCTTGAACTATATAATACTTGATCTTAATACAGACTCTGAAATGATTAGCTTCATATATAAATTATACTGACAGACAAAGTAAGGATCCCGTCCTGAATTTCGTATAGTTTTCCAGCTCTATTGAATACATTAAGTATAGTGTAGACAATCACGAGTCAAAGATTTACGAGCACAACAACAATAATAATAATAACAGCCAAAACTTAAGAGCTAACAAATGGATACAAAGAGGCAGGCAACTAAGTAGAAAATTCGTTGTGAGGAATATGCAACCCACATCATGGTGATGCTGGGCCGGCGTATGATCTGTGTGGTAGCCAGCGGAGAGAGCGTTGCGCCTGACACGGACATCGTGGTGGCCGAGGTCATGGCCGATGCCTCCGCTGCCGCAGCGGACGTGGAGAGCAGCAAGGAGGCAGCCGAAGGATTCGAGCGTATGCTGCACGCATCGGTTGGACTCGCTGCCAGCGAGCTGAGTGCATCTCCGGACATGACATTGCCCAGCCGTGGACTACTGCCGTGTCCATTGGGCGAACCCAACAGCGTCTGCTGCGATGGAGCGCCGTCCACGGTGTCCTGGTTACTGCTGCTGCCCGGATTGCACTGGAAGGTGATGAGGGCGCAGCTGCTGCTACTGTTGCTGCCGTTCGACGAGGACGCCGAGTGATTCGAGTGGATGCTGGCCAGAGTGCCGCACGGCGAGCAGCTGCTGCCCATCGCATAGCCGCCAGAGTTAGCTGTCGCTGCCGCTCCACCTGCTGCTGCCGCTGCCGCTGCCTGCTGTCGACTGCAGCTGCTGCTGCTGTTGCCGCTGCTGTTGTTGCAATTGTTGCTGCCGCCGTCGAAGAGGCGACGTGGCACACCGCTGAAGCTTCTGCTTGTTGCGCGTTTCGTTTTGGATTTGGATTAATTCATAGACACAGTTACAGACCAAAGCGTTATGTTTGGTTTGGATATATCGGAAGACATAAGAAATAAAAAATATTTGCAAAATATGCACAATAAACATGAGTAAATAGTATTTCAAACGAAATACGGGTATTAGAGAGTAATATTTATAAATATATATATATATAAATATATTTTGGTATTCAATTTCAACTCGAAAAATTCCTCTGACAGGCACTTTAAAGCACTTAAGTCAAGAAGCTTTTTAATTTTAGATTTATGCACTTTATATGATAAGATACGATTATTTTTAAACATTGTATATAATATATGTATAGATAGGGATTATCAGTGTCTTTTGGTTGTGTTCGTACGTGTGTGTGTGTGTTTAATATTATTAAACAAATTATAAATGTAAAAAATAAACAAAACAAAAAAATCACTTGTAGCCTGAACTGGAAATCCCTAGACACACTTAATCTTTTCACAGGTTTCTTTACTCTCATAGCTATCAGATTGGAATCTCGACTGGTTTGAATTAGCATGGGAAAATATATATCCAAATGAGATTTCATAAATGTATTTTTCAATGCAGTCTTTCCGGATTTTTTACCTATTTGGGTTTAATTTATGTATTTGTTATTAAGAGGAAAATCTTAAAATATATTTTCGTAAATGAATTTTTTTTTATGAATTTTCTGAACTTCTTCCTGTATTCTAGTCAACAATTTTAGCTTATTTATTAGTATACATTTTGTATGTCATAATATTACGAATGGATGCAATATCTTTATTTGCAGTCTGCATATTTATGCAGCCCTGACCTTTCCCATATTTATAGTTAGTTTTTCATATTCTCAATCAGAGTTGTCAGTTTCTGCTTTAAAAATTTATCGCACTCTCGACTCTAATAAAAATTCCAGTGAGTGCTTTGCAGCTATTGTAAAATGTATAAAGCAGCATACAAAAACAGTTTCAACAGTTGTTTTTTAGCCCAGCCAAATGGAGGCCAAGGTAAGAGTTTAGAAGGCCAATTGGCCGACACGAGGTTGACAGACGCGGGGCACATTGGCCGGGTGAAGCGGGGAGGAGTTTCAGAGGACACATCCTTGCCCCAGTTTAAATCAGAGTTGGCCTTAAAGGACAATTTTACATGGGGAGGAGAGGTTGTGAGAGCAGAAAGAAGTACAAACGGAATTCATAGAAAATTGAAGGTATCAAAGTGCAAACTTTTAAGTGCTGCCCAAATGAAATTAATAATAATAAAAACTTTAGACGAAGGCCTCTTAATTTATCGATATTAAAGTAGAGTTGGGTGAGTACTTAGTAATTGTAGAACCAGTAGCTACTTTTAACTGTACAATAAATTGACCAACTTGACCAGTGATAATCCCCTTGGGATATAGCAATAGTAATTACATATTTTATAAGATTAGCTTACAACTAAACTTAGGTCTAACTTAGGCACCCTGCGAAAATGTGCGCAGGGCCAAACCGGGCATTGATTAGTAAAAAAATAATAATTAAACTCGAACGTGAACAAAACAAAACAAAACGCAAAAAACATAGCCAGAAACAATAACGTAATTTTGAACGGGAAAAACAAAACGAATGAGCGAGTATATTTAATGATAGAGCATAAGCGATTTTCAGGGAACAAAACGCGACAGAAGCGAACGTGTGAATGAATAACTGAACAGCAGTCTAAAGCCTGAATGCAAACGAGTCAGGCTTAACGAGTAAATTTAACGAGCAACGAGTAACGACTCGCTGCTGAACGAACTAGTTAAATATTTAGTTTGGTCAGCAGACTGAAGCCTGAACGCAAACGAGTCAGGCTCAACGAGTAAAGCTTAACGAGTAACGATCCGCTACTGAAGAACTAGTTTAATATTGAGTTTGATTGTTTTTCATATTTTTTGTTTGTATGATATTCAAAGTAAAACGCGACGCACCTCATGAGCTCGT